AGTTAGTCATCGTCATAAAAATTTACAACATTTTGTAGTCTTTCTTAATTTACAAGCTTTGTTGCTCTTGTTTTTTGTAATTTAGGTTATTTTACTTTTTTATCAGATCTCTAGATAAGTTTAACAAAATTTCTGGCACTTAATTCTGTACTTACTTTTCTACGGCTCCAAGAACTGAAAACTCAAATAATAGGTTTAATGTTATACAACTCGTTCTTACAGTTACTTTTTAGTTTCTTTATCGGATCATTTTTGCAGTCAAAACTATTTCTTAACTAGCTGGATTTGGTGTGGCGTTAAGATGATCTTAATTTCATCTATTACACATTAGTTAGTGTGACATTAAAGAAAGGTTTAAAACTATTTATTAGACGGCCTTTATATTTATTTATAATAAAGTATTATTTCAATGCAAGATTGAGTTGAAAATTACTGGAAAATAAAACAATTTTTCGTTGTCATAATTTTTCCCCAATACGGAAATACACTTTTTTTAAAATCTACTTTGAGTTGAATCTCTAAGTTCAAAACTTAAATTGCAATTTGCTATTATTTTTAATATAAGAATTGAAACAGTAATTTTTAATTTGGTGTCTTAATAAAGATTTTCCAGTTGAAATTTTTTAAAAAATTCAAAATTTCAATTTTTAGAATAGAGTAATTTTTAAGCGCCACACGACCTGACTTTGATACTTTACAAGAAGTACCTAACTACACTGTTATACATGTTATAACTAAGTTTGTAACGTTATTCCTTTCTTTGAAAAAATACTCTCAACAAATCAAATGTTTTTTATTCGCAATCGATAGTTTTGGCTGCAAATATTACCCAAATACAAACGCATTAAGTAAGTAAGTAAATTCTCGAGGATGTTAAGTAGCTTGCAATTCGGACCTTCTGTTTCCTGTTCTAAAGTAGTTCGTTTATCCACGCTATCACTCTAGTGTCTATACACGAATTTGTTAATTTCTTTATAAGACGATCGTGTGGAACAACATCAAAAGCTTTGGAAAAATCTATTACTATCGGCTAGGTCCTGTAGAAATGAGACTAGCTCACTTTCGCATGAGAAACCATTTCTGAAACCGTGCTGAACCTGATAAATTCACTCCCTGCCCTCCCCAGTTATAATCCAACCCCTATTTTTATAGGACTCTTTACAATATACTTAAACGAATACGTAGAGAAAAATAATATTGAATGCAGTCCTTCATGAACTGCGATTCTAGCATAAGTTGAAAAATGCCAGTTTTGTCAGTCCACGTGCAATATATCGCCAGTTTTTTCTCTCCATTGTATATCTTTATCTATGATAATGTCAATGATACTTGGAGCAAAATTATTCGAATAGAATTTTAGAAAAATCCCTATATAATTGTAATTAATTGTAAGTTGCGTGCGCCAGTTCATTCGTGTCACGGTTACATCGCTTCCAGTGCACCCGGTGATGAATGGGAAGGTAAGATTGCGCGCGAACCCCCTCATTTTTAATACGCTTCTGGTCCTGAAGTGTTTAGACAAACCATCGGGAACCGGTCTGGCTAGCCGAGGACGCTAAGACTGTGGGGCAGTAGCTACGCGGAGGGGGGGGGCGGATTTGACACCCGCCTTGCACAGGGATGTTGTGTGCCTTCGTGTTGTTCTTACGCCTTCTTTCTACTGTTTCCCCTACAGTTAAAACAACCACGGTCGCTATGTGATCAAGTTGTTACAAAGCAATCTAAAAGCAACAGAAAAAACACGGAGTACAGCGTTCAAAAGATAAGAGCGGCGATTTCGAACACGGCAGGCGCCACGAACTCGTTGATGTCACACATCAAGTCAATTTCTGACATCTGATCACAATTGAATTCGCCATATAATCGTGGGTACGGTCGATTGTCAGGCGTTCCCTACACTTACTGTCACCGATTACTAACAAATAGTGTAAGATTAAAGAGATAATATTTGACGATTTTTTATTATTTTACGTTATCAAAATTGTTCCAATTCATTTGCTATGATCTAAGTGCTTTCGCTGCAAAGAAGTCGGCCTTGTGCACTTGCTGGATAGTTTGATGAAAACACGTAGCATCTCGAGCGAATGCGGCGGCTGCTGGGAGATTGGGAAAGTGTCCGTGTGGCGCGCTCTCGCGGGAAGTAAATGACCTCATTATCTGAAGATGCTTTAGCTGCTTACCTCCTGTCCCCATCAGCATCGGTGGTTCAGTGGTAGAATGCTCGCCTGCCACGCGGGCGGCCCGGGTTCGATTCCCGGCCGATGCACATTTTGAAGTCAAAAATAATACAATTATATATAATTATATACAATAATAATTTAGTTCACAATTGACTAAAATCGCATTGCAGAATGTTTGTGTATAGAGTACATAGAATACGTATTGATAAAAATGTTTTTCGTTTATTTCACATGACACATTCACAATCAACTTCAAAAGACGTGTTCATTTTATTATTACAAATTTTATAATTTTGGATGACTGATACGGATTAATTTTTAAATAAAAATTTAATAATAATAATAATAATAATAATAATAATAATAATAATAATAATAATAATAATAATAATGATAATGGTTTGGAAATTTTGCGTTGCATCAGCCTTGAGACTGATTGCGTAAATCTCGAAGTTCGGTATTTCGGCACCAATTCCGAAACGCTTAGCAAATCGTCAACTGAGGTACATCTAGTACCTAACCGTATATCTAGTGGTATCGGCAAAATAGAAATTCAGGGCTGACACTCACATGAAACTACACACATTGTTTCTTAGTAGTCTTTAAATTTTCTCCAGCAATTTCATTCCCTTTTCCCCATCTGCTATTCCTCGTCACCGTAACGTACTTTTCCTACAGCTCGTGATGGCTAACGACAACTTCATCCGGATAACGGTCAACGAGGAAGTAAAATCACTTCCAATAAATACCACTTTTTTACACTTACAATTAACATTACAGTTAGCGTTTACTATTCTTAAGCATTTAGAATTATCGGAATTAACCATATTTGAATCTAATGTGTACTTTTATAGAGCACTGATTATAATGAGATATGAAGAAAATGGTCTCTGCGTCGTGTATTTCAATTATGAAAATTCTATCCTTTCCTTTATACTTACAACCAAAAGAGGTTAACGTACTGTCGACGTTAGTTAGTGCAGTCGGTTCGCGCTTTCCTCTCGCTTTCATTGTATTCATATTAGCACATTGAGTTTGATTACACAGGCACACCAAAAGAAAAGTAGTCAGACCCAAAGACTTGGCTCATGTTGCTTTATGTATGGCGACGCGCTAAATCCGAATGTGAAGCGAGAATTGTGCTATCACCCTCCAGTTTTTTTGTTTTTATCACGAAAAACAACCGTGAAATAATTGTCACAGTGGCGTTTTGCGACTTAAAAAAACTGGAAGATGGAGATAAATGGGTCTACGTTTGGCTTGCTACAAGACTACAATGCTACAAGACACCAAAAGCTAGTAATCAAATGTGTTTTTAAAAAAACTGGAGGGTAGTGGCGAAATTGTGGCATCAGATTCTGATTCAGCGCGGTGACATACATAGAGGAACATGTGTCACCTCTTTGGGTCTGACGTCTTTTATTATGTGTGCCTGTGTTATTGAAGAAAAATAGAACCTGCTTTCAGCCTGAGTATCCTAACTGAATACAGTTACTCAAAATATTTCCTTATTTTTAATTACAAGGTACCTTTTAAAAGAACTCTTCGATGGTTCTACAGAGAGAATCCACAAAACACACGTACTAATGTAAGTGAGTGAGTATGGAACGCGAGAGCTGGCGCAGACGTACATGTCAGCTTTAATTTTTCAAAACTATTGAATACAAAAACCATATAAAATATACGGTGCAAACGTTTCTACAGCGCGATGCATTCACAATAGTACAGATCAGGGTTGTCCATTTGGCGGTGTCATTCACTGGGGCCCGAAAAGGATCAAAAGTGCAAGACCCTCTCATAATGGGTGGATCCTGAGACAAATTTTGGGAGGGGAAGTTCAAAATATTTTGGCCGAATATGTCATATTAGAGATTTTGTAAAATGTCTCAGGCTACACTCAGCTCATACTGTCTCGCAATTTTCTTCATTTTAATAATTATCCGAAAATATTTTTGCTTGAAATTTTCTTGACATGTTAAAATTAATAGTTACTAAATTTTTTGGGGGGGCGGGAGAGGGGAATATTCCTCATTTCCCTGCTCGTGGATCCGCACCTGCTCTCATCAATGTTTTGAGAAAACATGGTGCACACAGCGCACGCGCCTTGTCAGGGTTAACACCCTCGTAATATAAAAATGGGTTAAGTTTACATTCAAAGATTTTTTCTAGAAAATTCAAAATCATCCCAATGTGTTTCACTGCCTTATGCACGGTAAGTCTTGGTATTACACATGGTTCCATGTAAGTGGTTCAACATCACTTTCGTAATTTCGCATAATTTCAATTTGCAATTATGAAAAATTTACAATTTTGCAATTTTCAAAAATTCTGATAATTGAACAAAAATTAGGTCTGCGTCATTGATGCTCCATCATTGGGAGCATAGGGGAAATTAAAAGCCTTAGCTTCCTCTGGTCACGCCGCGCCGCCGCCCTCTCCCCCCCCCCCGGCGCGCAGTGGACTGTCCTCCACCGCCCACGCAGCGAGGCGCCGTCAGAGGCCGAATCGCGAGGCTTAATATAGGCGTCGGGGCGCGCGGCGTCGGCTCGCGACCTGCGGCGTGGCGTGGCGTGGCGTGGAGTGGCGTCGCGGCGGCAGATATTGTTCACGGTCTGTGGGCGTGCTTCTCCTCGCACGCGCCAGCCCCTCCCCCCGGCGGCAATGACCTATTGTACGCACCAAATGGCACTCGTTGCGACCACACAATAACAGGTTTGTTACGTAACGCCACCCCAAGTGCACCTGGTACGGCACAAACGTTTTGGATTCTTTTAAACACTGGTCAATGCTGGTGTTAATAATAAATCAAAGGAGACTCTTTATTAACTCTTATTAGTGTAACAAAATAGAAAATAAATTTGTGACAAGTAGTTGATTTCACACAAAGTTCTGAATCTTTATTTTGAAACTTAGGAAAAGTTTTAACAAAGGAGAGAAAAAATAATAAAAATAGGAATTTTAGAAATATTTTTTGGAAAAGAGTGTTTACATAATATTAATTGAAAAATACGATATCCGATACGAAAAACACAGAAGAGATGAGATACATAATTTAGATGTGCTTTGAAATAAGTTTTGCTCTAAACATTGTATAATGATTTACCTGCTTTCATGTCTTGAATTTAAACTTAAAATACTCTTAAATAATATATACCTAACTTTATCTTATTTATCTGACGTGTAGAAATAAAACTACAAAAATGAAAGAGTAATCTCAGAAAATATTACCTCTATTTCTTAAAATAGGAACTCGTTTCTCTTCGTAATATCCAAAGAGGTATGCTCCAGAGCACAGGTAGTATTGAACTCTCTCTAAAACTACTTTGATTAATATTAATCGAATGAATTATACGTATTTACACGTACTAATATATATTTTCTTCAGAAAAGGTTAGATAATTTAATAATTTTTAAGTATTTCTCTTATGCAAAGATTGCTAAATAGTTTACTTCTACAATATGAAAATACCCCATGAGATACAAATTCAATGTTCTTCTGAGTACTTTTAAAAGAAGTAAGGTAGAATATTTTAGAAAATTAACCAAAAGGTTTTAACAATTTAAGATCCAATTCTTAGTAACTAATTGTCAAAAAACTTGCTGAAAAGTAAAATCAGTTTGGACAATTGTAATAATTGAAGAATCACTCTCCACATTCATACGGTCACGTTCCATTACTAGTGGAACAGCATCGCCATAAAATCGATGGGCCCCTCTGGTAGACCATGTTCCTTCTCGTAGGCGTCGCTTTTTCTAATCCTGTAAACAAAAATATGTAGGATTGCGGTTTACACAATTATTGCTAAGAGACACGTTAAAGTTAACTGTTAAGTTTTATTAACAATTTTACAAAATAAAGTTTTTCATTTAAAGGTTTCAAATATTGTAACAATATGGTGTGAATGTTGTTCAAAAATTGTTTATTCTATCACACTGTACTGAATTTACGTAAAAGTTAATGTTTAAAATATTTATACAATTCGAAATTCAATTTTCTGAATAAAGCTGCAATGAAAAAATTCCAGCCCAAACTGTGAGGAAGATATTTTAATGTGAATGAAGAAATAAATAACTCCTCAACACATTTCATTCTTGCGCTGAAAATCCAATGATATGCACAATTGATTAAAACTTCAGTGAATCCAGAGAATTGTTGTCTTATAATGCATTGTTTATTGGTTTATTTTTCTTACATGTTGTACACTTGTTTGTTGTAATTTCATGTGTTATTTTTATATCTGTCTCTTATTTCTAAATAGTACATTATGAAACTAGTTAATAATAATAAGCTTTATTGAGTAAGTACGTGCTTGGGAAACGAGCGACGTTGTGACTGAATTTTCAAATTAATACGAATGTGTACGATTTTCGGTGCCATAACACATCAATATAAAGTTAATATACAAAATGTAATTGTATAATAAAAACTAAGTATTCTGAATTCATTTTATCAGTTCAACTTGTATGAAATCATTCTAGTAGGCAAGTGATTAAGCTGTTTCTAAATTTAAAAAATACTACATTTTTATCTTATTTATTAATTTAATTATTTTGTTTGAACGTATTATAGTTTTTTCGCTAGAGTGTTACTACTTAAATTCCACTCGTGGATTGACATTTTTTGATAAATCCACGAGTTGTTAGTTCTGAGTTTCCTTATCTTTTATGAATATTTTGATTTTACACAAGTGTAATTCTCATTTTCAAGTTATTAAACTGTGATTGGTCTACTACGTCTTAAATAATAGTAAAATTTTGTAAAATTTTGAAGAAGAAAACTAGAGGTATATATACTTTCTCAGATATTTCTATCTTTACCAATTTTTGAAAATTCAGTGAATCCAAAGAAAAATGTACGCGAGCTCTTTTCGGAAGTTGACTTTGCAATATGCGGGACAAAATTTAAAGACAAAATTTGTAGTCACTTTTGAGAAAATCGTGTTTTCAAATTTGCTTGTATTTCGCGGAATTGCGCAAAATCACTCACATGTTGAAAAGTTACTCCTTACACCAGGTAAAACCTTAATTAAAGATTAGAAAAAGATTGCGTTAAGAAAAAAATATATATCATCAGTATTGTAATTATATGAAGACGCCATAGGAATTTTTTTATTGTGAGAATTTTTGAAATTCCAGGGAATGAAAATGGTATCTGTGTAATTTCTATAAGCGTACTTTACTCTGTTAGAGGGGGGAGTTAATCCAATAATTTAGATTCATTTTTGAGAAAAAAGTGAAAATGTCTTTGGGGCTTCACGCAAAGTACTCCCCAAAATCAAAATACACGTTTTTAATTCAAGGCGGCACATCGGTATGGAATATCAATTTTGGTGAAAATTCTGGGGATGGTTTAGCCGCCAGCACTGTTCACAGACAGAGAGAGGTTTTGCCGCGTAGCAACATTTCGGGATATCAAACAAAACTTAGATTCTGAATACACAGCGTATTAGAGAAAGTTATTTATTTGTTAGAATTATAGAAGAGTCTTATAGAATTGTCTGCTTTTTCGATATCAGGAAACCATAAGACGAGTTTTATTGTCGGAAAGTCACGTTTTCCGCAGCAACATTACAATAATTTATCTTTACCACAGAAGTAGTATGCGAGTAAAAATAACATTCCCAGAAGTAAGTGCAAATTTATATTTATCAAAGTGAAAATGCATTGGAGGTAGTGAAATAGGAATATATTTATTAAAGAAACGGATTAGAAAAATTGATTATAAAAATGAGTTATTATGCATTTATAATCACAAAATACATATCTGATACCTACACTATCTGTAATTTTCATCCAATAATAATTTATACCAGATGAGAAAATGAAATATTGAATGTTAACGGAAAAATAAAGTATCAAATTTTGCATCAGTCTTCTCTTATCCTATTAGTACCTCCTATCTAGGGGTAAGGATGTCTTATTTACAATTTTCAGTTCATACGAGCATTATGCGCAACTAAAGCTGCTTCTATTCACATATAAGTATTTGTTCTTGATTTAGAGTTCAGTGCAGTATTTATTTTTTGGCTCTGTTTTCACTAAGTTCTCCATTTTCTGAGAGTTCTCTTGATTGTCTCGTTTCTGTAGTTCCTGCTGACAACACTGTTTCCTCAATTTCTTCATTTTCTCCACTATCTTCATTTTCCTCATTCAGTGCTTCTTCTCGAAGTCTCTGATTTTTTTCATAACTGTAAAATAAATAAAGGAATTACTTCCTAATACTTTAGGATTTCTATTACACTATTGTATTATGATATATAAATGACAACTCTTAAAGATTACGTAACCGCGATTTTCCAATGATTTATTAACCCTTGTATTTCTCCACCATGGCAACATTCAAACACATTGAATATTTAAACTTCATCCAGAAAACATTAGATGGAAAAGATAACTATAAATCCAGACGAATGACAATATTTGTAGGTCTCTAATCCGAAATACCGAAAGAAGCAAATGAACTCAATGAATTAAAGAACCAAATGCGTAAATCTTTTAATTTTCCCATGTTCTGAGTGTTATTACATACAAGTTGAGATAGCCAGTCATTGTAGATCCATCGAATGTTCATTTATTCGTCTAAAATAATTCCCTGAACTCCAGTTTGATTTTATATCACGAATGGTAAAAACTATGATGAGATAACAATACCAAAGGTAGCGAATAACAAGTGATGAAGATGATGCGAGTGGAAGATGACCTAGTGGTGCTCAACAGCACATACTTTCTCACAATATTACAATGTTATAGATATGGACGATGGGACACCCATATAAACTTCATTAATTCCAAATAGAAATTACGCAAAAAATTATTTTACAAAAAACGTACATTACCTTTTTAGAGCTAAATTTGTACAACAGACTTTGTAAGATGCAAAAATGGAACTTGCACCATATTTTAGTGTAGCTAGCTGTCTAACTAGTGGTGCTAGAGAATGGCACAGGCTTTCGCGTATTAATTTTCTATTTCTTTTCGTGTGGGATAGCTATTCGAACTTACCAGATACTCTTGCCAGGTGCCATCAATCGTGGCCCAAAGTGATTTTTTGTTAATTTTCTTAATTTTTTGGTTTCCTAATAGTAGAACCGGAATATTATTTTAAGAATATTAAATAACATTAAAAATTCGTCATAAATGACAATTTTCTTCGAAATATTAGGAAACGCTTTCATGAAAATGGTGTTTTAGCGCTAATGTAAATTCGAAATTGGAAGCTCCTTTTCATAGAAAATTTGTGATTTTTTTAAAAACTTCATTAGAAGTCATTTAACGCACATTAACACAAATACAATAGTGTTTACAAATTGTTGGAAATGTGCATATAAACGGTGTGAGAGTTCTTTCAAAAAAATACATGTGTGTAATTTAAGAAAAAACAAAATAATATCCCGAAATGAACATTACGTCATAATAAAGAGTGCAGTTAGCACTATCCGTTCGAAACGTTCCAAGAAAAAAGTTGGAGCAGTTTTTGAAAAAAAAAAATTGAAAATATATGGAAGGCTTCATGTAAAGTACCCCCAAATTTTAAAGAATATTTTTCAAAAACTTCTCAAGGCTTTGACTCGAGCCGGATGGAACAGAGTTTCTTCAATTTTCAAAAAATCTCACGTATGGTTTGGGCGCTAGTGGTGTTCACAGACGGGCCGACGGACCGACGGACCGACGGACCGACGGATAGACAAACCGACGGAGCGACGGACAGACGTACAGACGGATAGTAAGAGGAATTTGTTTTCTATAGTTAGCAATTGGATTTATCCACTTTTTCGTTACAAGGGCCGGAAAAAAGAGTTTTGTGGTCGAAAATTCGCCGTTTTCCGGCACACGATTGCAATAGTTTCTCTTCGTACTTTAGTAAGTGCGAGAAAGTAAAAATGGTGGAATGAGAAACAGGGAAAATAACAGAACCGCTCAACCGTTCGTCTAGGCTAAACATGATAGTGATAGAGAGGCATATTAACGAAACTGCTCGTTCGATCTCGCACACGCTCTCGAGTTGAACAAGTGACTGGGCTGTTTGTTTTAGGAAGGGAGGACTGTGGTGGAGAGTGAAACGATGTAAGGGATAGTGAGAAGCGTGGCTGACTCGGGCCGTTTAAACTCTTTCTGTTATTAATGAAATGCATGTTATATCCAGGGAGATGGCGCTGTTCCTCTCGCTAGAACGTGATATCGGTTGGCGGGGTTCCATTCGTTGCATTGAAACTCGACTTAGTGCAGGGCAAATCGTCATCGCTCTGGAACAGTGGGAAATGAGTCACTGCGTGTGCACTGCGTAGTGAGATTATAGACAGCCGTTCTTGATCTGTAACTATAGTACACTAGATTTTGAACCGAAAGGCTTCCACAGATTTGTTTGATTATTGAAACTCATAAAAATACTAACAAGAGCATTTCTGTTGGCGTATGTATAAGTCTGCGAGAAATATTTCTTGGCCCAAGTATTTGAATGATTTTGTAAGAACATTAGTTAATATTTTTATTTTTTACTTTATTAGCGTTTCGAAATTGAGACGTACCCATACTTTGGTTACTAAATAGCACTGAATTTGTGCACATGAAGTTATTCAAGGTTGAATTTTAGGAATACACAAACTGATTTTCCAAACTTCGTGTAAGTTACATAATTATTTGAAGACTTTTGTTGTAAAACATGATATACTCCATCATTCGAAGTGTCTCTGAGTGACAGAAGATCCTCAATTGCCTTCACATGTTCATCACGAATCCAAATCAACATTCATAAATCCCGTACCTAACCTCAAAATGGCCCGGTGCAATGGACTGCACTGACAAGCCCCTCAGCGCAGGTTAGGGCGCCCCGAGTGCACCCTGGTTTCTTGTCATTGTGCGAATGGAACATGTGCGTCTTTGCCCTGGTGCGCTCTAGCGGTCAAATGGAACACGAAAGCTGCCCCCGTGTGCGCACATGCGCAGTGCGGCGCTTGTAAAATGTTATGAATGCAGTATACGTGCGTGGAAGGGAAGCAAGGGACAAGCGTGTGGAAGGAAACATGGCGCGCGGTTTGTGGTTCGCTCGTTGGAGGCCTTCTGCGGCATTTACCCGGTACTGACAGCAGAAACCAAGGAAAACTAGCGATCAAGGAAAGCCAGCAGCTAGAATTTCCCCCACACGTGGTTGAATTCAGTGTGTCAGTGTCGGCCAGTGACGAAAATGTGATACCATCGAGATAACAGTAATGCTCCCTTTCAGCTGTCGCAGACGGTCAGAGAAAAGCACATTGCAATGACAACATAAGGGGCATAAGACAAATTAGAGATATTATGGTTGTATTGAATTGCTTCATTAGGATTAATAATACAGAAAATTATTTTTTCGAATTTTCCCGTTTCCTCAAGCGCAAAATCTGCTCACGAACCTTCGTTTTACGTTACACTGCTGATTCTTACAATTTAATTTTTGATATTTTCCACAAAGGCATAGTAGATTATCAACTCAATTTAATTATATTGAGATCATCGTTTTTAAATATCATTATTACTCATGGTTTGGAAGAATTAAATCATAGTTACTTCCACTACCCAACTGTCGAAATCATTTTAATAATTTTTTTTAATAATAATTATTATTATTTTTATTTCTATTGTTGTTACTATTCGATGCAAGCCAATGTATTTAAATTACTGTACGGACGGTCTGACAGACTTTTGCCGTCAATCAATTTTTAGGTATGAAGGATCCACAAACCATAAAATCTGACTGCACAGCGTGTTATAGGAAGAAATTTACTGAATATAGGAACAGGATGTATCCACATTTTCGATACAAGGGCTCATCAATAAGAGTTTTTCTGTCGAAAATTTATTTTGTATTTCATGTTTGACTTTTGTTGCACTATGGCAAATGAGGAATGTTCCAGTTCTGATAAGCGTGACGCCGATAGACATCGCTCCGCCAACTATTAGCCTCCTCCACCAACTATTAGTTGTTATGGCACAGTGCGCCAGGAAAGTCTCTCTACAGTGGGCCGAGACAGGGCCTCCTATAAAAACGTAATGAACCAGATAGCTGGGAAACAAGTGAAGGGGACAACACTACCAACGTCTGTTATGATTATAGTGAGTGGGTATTTACGTTTTCTTTTGTTACACGCTGCTACCAACAAAATATTTGTTGCAAGCAGCAAGCTGCCACTGCGTAGAGACTTTCTTGGTGCGCTGTATACGAAGACGATGTTTACAATGATGTATTTATAGGTGCACATAGCATGATGACAGCAATATACTGCAATGCAAACAAACCTATAATTTTTTTATAAGAACAGTTGCCAACGGGCTCAGCACTACACTTGTACTTCGTATATGGGTGGATCAGTGCCAGAGATGCCTAACCCACTATATTCTGAAGGCGCTTTTCCTCTGCAGTAAGGCTCTGAACAATCAGTTATATAAGTACCAAACTTTTTAATCCTTGTGAATGAATGAATGAATTAGCTCAATCAGGAAGTTTGTACCAATTCATTCTTTTATTCACAAGGATAAAGAATTGTGGCACTAATAGAGCATTATTCAGAGACTTACTTTATAGGAATAAGGGACTTCACGACTCCGTGAGTTAGGCAGCACTGGTACTGCACAACTCATATTACGGCCATGATATGAAGAATGGCGATGAATGCAATAGTATTTTCACCGCAAGTTGGTCTATAAGCTAAAGTACTCGCAGGAAAACGTGTCCAGAATAATGCCACAAACCAAATCATCGCACGCCTCCATGGTGACTTTACAATAACAAATGAAAGGTGAAAAATGAAAATATAACTTTTTCATCGAACAATGGATATTAAAAGTAATTGTACTTAATGCATCTGGAAAACAGTAACCAAAATAATCAGCACCAAAGAAAAAGATTACTTTCCTTCCCAGAAGTCTGGGCATACTGTACGCAGCTAATTTGAATCCCAATAATTCTTCTTTCTATGAACTACTAAGTTAATAGTAGTCTCTTTTAATATTGATGACAATATTTCAAATTGTTTTATGGTCATATGTATCTATGATACATCCAGCATATATTTCAAGTTGCTAAAAATATCCTCCCCGGCGGGGAATCGAACCCCGGTCTCCCGCGTGACAGGCGGGGATACTGACCACTATACTACCGAGGACATGTGCAACTGAACTAGAATTTCTAATCTTTGATTAGATTGCATTATCGTACAACTTTAATACATACTTCCCTTTCTAGGTTAGATGTCTTCTCGTTCCCACGGAACGGCCACGTGGCAATCACATTCTCTCCACATTAGTTTGAGCAGCACAACTCGAGACAGTAAATGAGATGTCAGTTCTTTCCTCTTGCTCTTCCTGACGATCTTGAAGTTTTTCTATGCCATTTCAGCGAACTGGCACGTCGAGAAACTTAATCAGCCTTCTTATATGTGTATGCTCCTACATTCCTAACCGTATATTACAACTTTCCTTACATGGTCGATCTACATGTTTCGAATACCAGTGAATATTTGCATCTTCTCGTTCTACTCGCTTCAAAGTTAAAAGGGTATACAACCTTTCATTAAGCTTCATACTTTTAATTTTGTAGCTTATTAGCAGATGCACTTATAATTATTCATTACTTCGTATTCGATAAAATGAGAGGTAATTGAGACCCTTGGGATATAGGCAATGATGACAATATATTTTTATAGGCATTTTTGGTTGTTCTTTCAACTATTATTTTGAAACTCGCAAGTGTTCATTACAATCATTTCCACTTGCGTAATGTCATTTCGTAAAAAAAACTAGAACCATTTTTCAATAACCAAAAACGAATTCACCTCTTCCAATTTTATAAGTAAGTGTAAGTTTTACAATGAATCTTTACGTAATTGAATACGTTCTCTATTATACTGTGTCTTATTAACTTTCAGCCTTCATTGTAAAGAGAGGTAAGTGCGACCGATTTAATGAAATTATTTTTGTAACAACTACGGACAGCGAGTCTTTGGCGTACGAATGACGCCCAGGGGCGGATCCAGCCGACCGGTTTGGAGGGGAGGAGGGGCGGCATCATATGTTTTGTTAAATAATAATCAAATTTTTATCATATTGTATATGCTTTTGGTAGTGTATATATGATATTATTCAAATATTACTTTTTAAATAAATTCGTAATTCCAACATAAATATTTAAATCATTTAAATTTATTTGAATAAATTAAAACTGCAGGCCTTTGGGGGAAGCTGGCACCCACGCCCCCCTCCCCACCTAAATCCGCCACTGACGACGATATGAGGCGACAATAAGAGCCTAGTCCGGCATTTCGAAATGAGACTTCTGTACGAAAAGTGTACATTCCTTTTTCATGAATTAATTGATTGTTAGTGATGTCGGTCGCGTCAACTGCTAAGGTCATTATTCTGGTACGTGTAGTGCATGTTATTCCTCAGGTGGTCTTCGCTCTGTGGACGGCGACGGTTCCGGCGCCGACCTACGGCCGGTAGCTGAGTTTTCACTAACCAGGTATCTCCCCTTAGTGGGGCACCGCCCCTGCCGTGACAAGCTCTAAGCTCCAGGCCGGTCTCGCGAAGTGGTAGTAGTAGTAGTGCATGTGACTGTGTGTGAGTAAGGGATGAGGATAGGACAAGGAAGAGGAAGGAAAGATCGCGCGCGGTCCATGGCGCGTTTTTTAGGGTACATTCTCCTGGCGTTGATCGGAGAAAGCACGAAGAACTACCGAAGAGGAGCAGCCGGTCAATGGAATTCTCCTCTAGACAGCGAATGAATCTGTTCTTGCTTACACGGTAGCGTCGAAAATCCTGCCACCGTCGGGACTCGAACCTAGGACTTCCCGGTCAAAGGAACATCAGTTGATGCCCAGAACCACCTCTCCCGTTTTTAGGACGAAACCGCGAACTATTACACTCTTTAGATCATTCTCAATATGCGGCGAGGCAGCAATAATGGTTCGTGTCTCTAAGTGTTTTGTTTACTTTGCAGTACCCAGTTGAAGTCAGCAAGTAAAAAACAAGTACGATAAGCTCAAGTCGAAAACCTTTTGAGAAAATAGCCAGTGTTAGGAGGAACAGGGAAACGCGAGTATGGTAGCCTGTAAGTGTCGGCGTTGCGCTGCACAATTTTTGGACTGTATCGAAAAAAACTATTCCTTTGGAGAAAGAGTATAAGACGAAGTCTTGTTGTATATTGTTCGTTAGATCGCCGAAGTGTGAAGGAGTTGAATGCATCTCTAACGTGGCGTTACACCATATTGAATTTAAAGTATCATTTTAAAATGCTCTCTTGAATATAGAAGAAGATCAAAGCTAATTTTTTGGCAGAAAACTTTTAATAGTAGAAAATGGTTTTTCATTGCTAATTATGACCACGCCATTCCGTCTATTAGTAGCCGCCATACTGATTATGTTTTTGCTGGCTCCCGGCCTCTGCGATAATTACATGAAAGGATGATGAGATGGAGAAGCGTGTAAGATTCGCTCTTTCTCGAACATACGAAAAGATAACAGGTCCTTATTCTGCCTTGAGAGATCTCTGACGGCTGGACATATACCCCACTTGGATGAAGCCAGGTATACCCAATGAGCTGAGACAGACGCAAACGCGATTTGAAAGGCAAAGCTTGTAACTTTTAGTCTTCACATTGTAAGGAATTACTCTTCGATGGTTAGTTATTTTAGTCCCAACTGGCAAGTCTTAAAACGTAAAAAATCTCGTACTTATTAGGTTGTTTGCAATGAAGACAGTTACTGGTAAACGAATTTCAAACTAAAATGGCGAGATGGGGAAAGATAACGATTCGCACTGCGAGTAAGATGACGAGATGTTCGAAAACTACATCTTATCCTACATGCTTTAATGTCTTCTTTTTAATAATATAGAGTTTTTTGTTAATTTTGAGTGTTAATTATTGTTTTCTTTCGTTTTATACTCTAATTTATTTAGGAACTGCATCTATTTATAAGTGGTTCATAAAGTGCACATCAATATGCTAAGAATGTACGTCAAAAAAAGTCATAGGGGAAAGTGGGATATGGAGGCAATGAATGAAAATGTTTTAGAACTTAGAGATAACACCTCAAGTGCCACCGCGTCAAGAACTGAACTTTTCATCAAATGATGAGACAGCACTAGAAGACGCTCCTGGTTTTGTCACACACAAAGACATATATGATGATGTGTTTTATGTTCACACTCAAAACTGCATTTGTGCGGAGCAGGGAAGGCAAAATTATCATACCAGTGTAACAGTTGCAAATATGGGTCTCACGCTGAACGTTCGGATGGGGATAATTAAGCCAAACACTAACCCTGGAGATGCGATTTTTTATATGAATTCAATGTCTTATTGTTTCCAGTGTTGTTGGATATCGCATTCCCTTAGGACATCAGACACGGCTATACTACTGATTAATTAATGTTCTCTCCATCACCTCACCCCTTGAAGGGGATAAGATGTCGAAAATGTCAGTTGTAAAATATTTTTTCAACAATTAGTAGTTGAAGAAAGCTTTTTTGTTTTATTCAACAATGAAAATAAGTGTTGATAAACTTTGTCATGTAAATTTCTATTTTGCAAACTTCTCACAAACTTCAGAAAAAGGTTTGAAGCTTACGTTACTCATCTTACCTTCCTTTACACAACTAGTTTCAATGTACGAGTTCTGAAAATGTACAAGTTTTACTAATATTCCGTCCCAAAATCGTTCAACAATTTAAATTATTTTTATTCGAACAAGAAAATCCTTCTTAAAGTTGTTGCAATATTCTTTACTTTATTATTCGCAATGTAATATTCTAATTAAACCATTCATTCTGAGATCATGTTTCTAAGATTAAAAACTGTGACTTCCACACGTCCGTCTCTGTCGACTAAAAATTTCCTCTTTGACTTCTGTACTTGCCACTGTGTGTCATGGAAGAAGTTGTGAAATATGCGGGAGAGAAGAATTAAAGAAATTTAAGAACAATGCCTAATAAACATTAGCGCTACACTTAACATGTCTCTCAAATTAGCCAAATTGAATGTTCACTCTCCCAAATCGATAACGGAGGAATCCAAATTCACTCTTTATCAGGTTACATTTACAAATAACAATTCGTCGCATTTCAAAGAGTCGATTGCTTTAGAAATCATAAGGATGATGAAATGAGAGAATCAGGCCAATACTAGAAACCATACTGTGTAAATCCAATAATACATGCAAAGTCATTTTATCTTGCAATAGGTGAGGTATAAGATTTTATTTTTTATTATGTTTTTATTAGTATTAGGAAGAAAATACGTTTTCCACCTCAAAATACATCGAGAAAAGTTTTGGGCGGCAAAAAAACACGAACTTTTAGGGCATTTTTTGGTTTTTGCGTTATACGTTTTTGATGGTTGATGTTAATGCAAAAATGATTACGTACTATTCTAAATATGGTAAAATTCTCTAGAAGTTTGCTGTATGAATTATTTTTCTTAATCAAATAATAAGAAAAGTATGAAGTTTTGACATTTTTTACTAAATTTTCTTCTTTTTATTCTGATGTTGCACCAATTTCTCAATGGTCCGTCTAATGTATGTTTTGGGGTACGTAAGGACATTTTAAATAAAAAGTGATTAAATACTATTGTTATTAAAATTTGCGAGAGTGTGATACGACGACCACGAAATTTTAGCACAATTCGAATAAGTTTCTTCTGCACTTCGTTTAGCCGACGAAAGATAATGTAAACGCTGATTTCGACCCATAATGAACTCATAAACAAATACGCATCCTGATTGCTGAAGCGCTCTTTCGTAATGCTTACGTGGTGACGAGGGCGGAGATGAGAATGCCGATGATGACGGCGACGCAGAACAAGCTAGCCCCCACCGCCAGCCACGCCCACATCTGGCAGTCCGGGTGCACCCCGTCGTCAGGCGCCCCCTGCCTGTTGTGGGGATCCGCGAAGACGACTATCTGCATCGGAATGCCGACGTCACTGAATTCGTCTGCGCCTATTCGCTGGGGTACAATCTGAAAGGGGACGTCACAATCGATAATTACTCGCAAAGCAAACCTGAAAATAATCAAAAGAAATCTGTCAAGTTTGTGTACGGGAAAAACGCTTTAAGAGTCATGGGAACCGCTAGACACAAAAATGAAGACGATGTTTTTCAGCAGGCTTAGTGTTAATTTTGCTCTGATCATCATCATAAACATCATCATCATCATCATCATCATCATTATTATTATTATTATTATTATTATTATTATTATTATTATTATTATTATTATTATCATTATTAAAGAAAACTCTCGTTATACGAAATCGCTTAACGCAAATTTCGCCGTAATACGAACAAAACTTGGGTCGCGGCGAGGGATTAGTCTTGTAGTAATTTATAATAATCAGATAACACGAATTTTTACAGCATGAACTCCGATGTCGTTTCATTAGAATTTACGTTAATTAGGTTTCACTATATTATTATTATTATTATTATTATTATTATTATTATTATAAAGTAATTAGGGCCATGAGTGAATATCTAATGAGATGATAAAGTGAGTGACGACTTGGTAAAATGAGAAGCAAGAGGCAGCCAGGAATCGGGCGAAAAAAGAAAACTTTTCTCCGGAGAAATTCCAAATCGATTGTCAGGAAAATATGTCTTATTTGTAAAGTGTTGTGTATTACGCACGTCCTATCCGAAAGCATCATTACAAAGCTTCCGTTTTGTAATAATAATAATAATAAATAAAATAATAATAATAAAATAATAATAATAATTCCCATCACTCTCTTCCTCTAAAAATTGTGAACGGACTATTGCCCACTACGTACCTCCACAGTATGATTTTTACCAGACACTACGCCCTCCGTAATCAACAGGCAAAAACTTTTCGGCCAATCGTCACAGGGGTGGGACGGTCCAACGCGTATTCTGCCCTTATCGTCGATTGGGTAGAATCCATACACTTGCGGTTGAGTGAAGTTGCCGCCGTCCACCTTGTGGCGCGTGATGTACTTGATGTCTTGCGGGCAATTGGATTGAGAGATCGGCGTCCAGCGAATATCCAACCAACCAGGCCCGCTGGTGGGAGAGTGGAGACCCGTCACACGCTCCAGGTTCACTACAACAATGTTTGATATTCGTACTGCGCTTTCTTTGGAGGAGACGTGTCCCCTGCAATATGTTAAGGCAAAAATATCAACCGAGAATGTCTTGTGAAGTTCACCAACAGATGATGTGAAGACTGTACGTGTATTTGTAATAAAATATAATTTGTTACCCCACATAATGTAACGAGTAGAAATTATATCTTTATTTCGTCCATATTTGACCTTAAGACAATATGCGTTGACAGGGCCTGAAGTAAATTTAACATGTGGGATTGGACATAAAGGAAGATTTTTTTCTATTTGAAAGGTGAAGAAAGTAATGCTAGGTTCTGTTCTTGAAAATTGTTTAATTAATTAATGTATTGTTCTTTTCAGTTTGCAAACAATATTGTGAAAAGTTTTTTGTTATTATTTCGAATAAATGTTATATTTTATTTTAAAATTGAAAGAGTTTTGATTAAGTTTATCAGTAAGTTACCATGTTTAAATCTTCGGGGTATGCAATGGAATCATTGGCCCCTAAACAAATAATTAAATGGATATTTTTATTTCACTCAATGAAGTAAATATATTAATGGAAAAATAATAACCATCTCATTACAAATGCCACTAAAGAAGTCATGATCTTACGAATGTTTACTACAGCATAATATTAAAATTGGTTCTCATCACACCACTTCAGCCATCACTTGAAAAACTTCTAATCAAATGACGTGCGAATGAAAACTGTGGCTTCCGCGGCCGGAGTCAGTACCTATTTGGTTTGGCTGTGTCTTGAATAGTCCGCTGAAGTGCGAGTTGTTTACACCTGCAATTATATCGGCATCGCGAAAAGTTTTTGTTCTTATTTTCAAAATAAATATGATTAAATCTCAACAGTTCTTATTGCCATCTTTAATGTAATTATTGTCATCTTCAATTCGCTGCGAAGTATTATCAACACATCATTATACAGACACGTAAGGATAATACTTCACACTAGGTTGCCTTGATTACTTATAAGAGAGCTAAGACGGTTTGAATGAAGATATCATAATCACCAATCAATCATGTTTGAAGTAAAGAAGATCAATGGATTAAACATCCATCACTGACAAATAATGCAATATATTGCTTTGCAATAATAGTAGTTGAGTAGTAAAGTGAATATTCTACACCTGTTGCCGTTTCTCGCTGGCTAATCTCCATTTCTTTCGATCTCTCCTGGCATTATCTACTACATCTCGCGCCGCCATCATTGATCTTACGTCTTCCTGCCGCTTCCTTCTTGGTCTTTCTCTATATCTTCTTTCTTCAGCATGGTATTCCCACATCTTCTTTGGCAGTTGCTCACTGTTCAACCTTCTTAAATTCCCATACCATAATAAAGTCTGTTTCTGTCAGTTTTAAGGTTGATTTTCCAGGTTTCATTATCTCTATTATTTTTTTAAATTTTTTTTCTTGTAACCTGACAACACCGCCTCCAACATTCCATTTATGTTCCTTGGATCCTACTTCTATCTCTGACATTAATAGTCCATAACTCAACGCCATGTGTGTTTATTTTTATGCGTGAATTCCGTGTCAGTGGATGTAAAGATCTTATAACTTGCCTATCTCTATTTGTTTTGTTCAGGACGTCTTTGCTGTCACGACCATCACTTGTTTAAGTTACACCCAGATAGTTCAATTTCTTTACACATTTAATTATGCTCCTGTGGGTTAACAGTTCTTGACGATTGCCTCCCACTACCATACATTTTTTTACTACCATATATTAATGGCAAGTGTCAACTTTTCATTTTCTTCAATTAATTTTCGAGTCATGTAGTGGATATCATCCTCATCACTGGGTAAGATCACTTGGTTGTTAAGCTTGCCTTAGATCTTTGTTTATTTTAAAATCTCAAGAACAACTTGAACTAACTTTTACGCAGCTTTGACAATTCACATATAGACGCTTTATACCTTTTTTATTCACCGTATTTACATTCTCATATTCTAGAGTATTCCTCAGTTTAACTAAGGGTACCAAGTTAAATGGCTTTTCTCAGATCTACAAATACCATATGAATCTCTCTGCCTACACCGATTATTTTTTAAGAATATGTTGTCAATGCAAGATCTGCCTGGACAAATGTCAGTCTGGTCGTTTCCTCCATCTCTGTTTTCAATCTTTCACTTATCCGGCCATACAGTCTCTCAATTGTACTGGTAACACTAAAGCCTTTACAATTTTTACATTCGTTCTTGTTGCCTTTCTTATAAATATATGAAATGAGTGTCATTTTCCATTCTTCGGGAGGCAAATCTCCTTTCAAGCCTTTTTAATTAATTTAATTGGGACTCCTCCAGGTCCCGGAGCTCTGCCATTTTTCATTGCCGTGAGGGCCTCACTGACTTCCCTTGTTATTTGTGGAACATTTTTCTCAGTTTCTTGAGTTTCATACGAAATATTCATATACTCTGTTCTATTATAATTTATTTAATTATATTTTACAATTAACCTTTGTAATAATAATAATAATAATAATAATAATTGATCTGATCTGTACATTTAGAATTTTTGTGTATGAAATTAATATTGTCAACGTAAATACATAAACTAAAATTTAACAATGAAATCCAGTGTTTTATCCTGCAATAATCATATAGAAAATATCTAAGCAATATTTCTAATAATCCAGTGTAATGGTAGAAAATAAGGGAACGTTTTGGTGTAATTTTGACATTGTATTTCTACATTTTTTATCGATGAACATTAATATAAGGTTTGTCAACAATAATTTTGACTAAGAACATGTTTTTTAAGTGCAAAATGAGTAACAATTCCGACTTTTTTCAGTTTTTCAAAACAACTAAAAAACATCAATTTTCCGTAAATTAATATCCTCTATTACCTCAAAGAAGATAAAAATTTTCTACAATTAAAGTTATTCAGATTTTTTTTACAATTAACGGTTTCACAGCGAGAGCAGCGCGAAATTTGGTGATGTAAGTGAAAAACGGGGGAAAACGGCAGAAAGGGATAATATTTTGTGGTAGCTGACAAAAAAGCGGTATATTATGAGATAATTAGAAACACGCCTGGTTTTCGGTAAATTATAATTAAGTAAAAAGTAAAACGATCCGCACAGACACAATATCAGCCATAAACTCTGGAAAACAGCACCTCGACTGACTTCACGACCACGAAAACGCTGTTGCAGGGTTTATGTCTGTCCCCAACGCTGTTCATGATAAACGTTGATGATGACAGTGGACGAGGAAATGGCAGTAAAAATAAAAGCATCGTAACCGGAATATATATATATATATATATATATATATATATATATATATATATATATATAAATGTTTGCGGATAATGACGTTATCATTGCTACGGACAAGGAAGGTTTTAGTTTTTTGACAAGGAAACTGAAAGAAGAACACGAGCTGCAGGGGCTGAAATTCAATGTTCAAAAAACATAATACTGGATAGTGAAGAAAACGTGACAAAAGCGTTCCATGGTTTCAAATACCTTCATGTGAAAAAGATGATACCTTGATGTTGTAACACGTTTATCCTATCTCTGCTACAGATTGCTCTAGGAGTCTGATTTTTTGGAATCTACGGCATTTTTATTCTCCTTCATATGATCATCGTGATTATCGATTGGGCTTGGGAGCACTTTTCAGCGCTTTATTCGGCTATATCCTTTTGTGAGTAAGAACATTAACAGAGTTAGGTGATGTCTTGACATAGTTCTACTACTTGCAGTTATGAGCAACGCAAAAAATACATAATGATTCCTATCAATTCAATGTACTTCTTTTCGGCGAATGTTTTACTGCGTTTGCCGTTTCTCGCACCCAAATCGCCACTTCCATCTGTCCGATATATCAATTTCTTCCAGCCGCCAGGACGTCATCGCTTCGCATACAGCATCTCGGCCCTTAGGTCTTCGTGGTGTCCAGTCCCTCTCTGTATTGCATAAGATTCACAGCGAAAAACCACAACTTTGATGACGGATACGAAGGCTTTTCAAATAGTAAAAATAAAACGATCAATACAAAAAATATTTCATTCAATCTTCGAAATTTACATGTTCTTTTTCGAAGTAATTTCCCTCAGTACTAGTACACTTTTGGTATCGATCCTGCCACTTTTTAAACACGAATTTCAGGCCATTTTTTCCAAACTTCATGCAAGCGCGAATCAACAGCTTTGATGACCTCGTGATTGTCCTTTGACCGGAAACTTGAGTTCTGGGAAATGCAAGAAGTCACAAGAAGAGAAATCTGGACTGTACGGTGGATGGGGTACGATGTTGCGATGCCTCGTGCGTTCAAGAAATCCACTTCAGCGCGAGCGACGTGCGGCCCCGCGCTGTCATGGTGCGCGGAACCCATCTGTACGATACGCGTCGCATCGTGCACAATCGAAAATGCGCTGCCGATTGAAATGTCTAAGACTGCAGCAAGCTCTCCAACGGCCATTTGTCGATCTTCGCGAATAATAGCGGCAGCTGTATTCTGTAGAACCTCGTTACGAGACTTAGAATATCGCCCCTCGCGCGGATGGATGTGGATGTGGATGTCGATGTGGATGTCGATGTAGATGTGGATGTGGATGTCGATGTGGATGTAGATGTAGATGTAGATGTAGATGTAGATGTAGGTGTAGATGTAGATATGGAGAGATAGGGAGGGAGAGACAGAGAGTTAGATACTAGCGGAACCCGGCAGACGTTCTGCCCCTCATCTCTCTTTTTCTCCTTTCCTCTCATTTTCTCTGTCTGTCTGTCTCTCCGTCTCTCTCTCCGTCTCTCTCTCTCTTCGTCTCTCCCTTCGCCTCTCTCTTCGTCCATTCTCTCTGTCTTGTTCCTGTAACAGTCTCTCTGTGTGTCTCTCTCTGGCTCTGCCTCTTTCTGACCCTCTCCCTGTCTCCGTCCCTCTGTCCCTGTCCCTCCATTTCTCCGTCTCTCGGCAACGCGCAGAAGCAATGACGCCCAGGTTTAGCGCAGTTTGAATGAAAACCTACATGAATCTCGAACATCGGGGACCGCCCCAGCCGGGACAAAGACTGAACTTCCGATTGGGCTTCCGACGTATGGGGTAGTGTAGTGCACGTAAGGTAGTGTGTGTGTAAGAGGAGAGGATAGGACAAGAAAGGGGAAGGAAAGATCGCGCGCAGTCCGTGGATCTTTTGTTGGGGTAATGCTCCGGCATTTGATTAATTGGCTAAGCAACGTAAAAGTACTGATCAGAGCAGCCGATCGTTAGAATTCTCCCGAGACAACGGCTGAATGCGACGTTGCTAATGCCGAAAGTTCACCACCAACCTTCTCGAATCCTAGATTCTCCCGCTCAGAGACGCTGCCTACTTGAAATGAACAGCATGACATTACAAAACAAAATATTAGAAATTCTAAAAGTAATTAGTGAATCAGGGACAGACAGGATAAATGCCAAACTTTAGTGCTTAATTGAACTATTATCAAATTGAATGAAGAACGAAAATTAACTGACAGTCCCAAATATTAATACCAAGCCAACAAATGAAACATCGAATCTGCCATCATAACTGATTAGTATGAGAAAGTAAGCTATTTAATTATTGAATTAGCTATTTCATAAACACGTAAATATTCTAAATTCTAACTCACCTTTACATGTTTTGCCTCGAGTCCGATCAAAAGAACCCGGAATACGAGCTTGAACAATGTAATCAACATTGGGATGTAAATTTATAAGTGCATATTGACCATTCCCGTGATCTTCCACATCGTCTGAGGAAACAGTTATAAACTCTGGGATGTATTTATATAGCTGAAAGAAAAAAGCAGAAAAGGCTTTATTAAGTAAAAACTAAGCAATGGTTGATTATATGACGTATTTCTAGGACAGTGGTGTCCTTTTAAATTCTATCAATATACACAAGAGAATAATAATTACATGAATAGTACCATGTGCCCTGTCTTTCCATTCTTTTAGTTGTTCTTTCCATACCCTTGTTGGTCTTACTTCTCCTATTCCCCTTTCATTGCTCTTGTTATCGCCGCCCTCCACTTCTAGACCACTAGTATCTCATTTTTACTTTCTTGTCTGATACGTACGGACGGAGTAATATATGTAGTATAGTGAAAGTTATGTATTTGCTGCGAAAAAATCAAAACTGCCGTCCTTCTGCCCGTATATCGGTCAATATTTTAACAACAAAAACACGTAAACCATTAGTAGTATTCTTTTCAAAAATGAATATTCTCGATCGATCTGACTTGAAATGAAACTGCGATTTTCAAAAACTTTCTTTCACTTCTGAGGGTACTTTAAAAGAAGTCCCTGAGACATTATCAAAATTTATGTTATACAACTACAATTATGATAAGAGAGATTTTTCCCTTAATAAAATCTCTCTTAAAGATTTATTTTGAAAGAAGATCATGTGCAATTTCCCGTAAATTTGAGTACTTTTTGCGTAATTTTGCGTGAAAATAAGGGCGTGAAAGTACCTGCTGGTTTAGCACCACTAGTTTATTTTTCTTTACATTTTTAAAAATCGAACTAAATTATAATTTCAAATTGTACTCTAAATTAGTTCATCCAGATGGCGTACCGACCTATGTCAGATTCCATTCGTAGCATTCTGATGACCACCTTGAGCAGCAGTGTATCATATCGATTGAGTAAATATGCCTCAACCGATTCAATTGTACAGATCATGTGGTGAATGATACTGTATAAAAACTATAGAAATGTAATGTATTAATTAGTAAATTCAACAGTAATGTATTTCAGGCACACGCCACCCACTCACGAACTTTCCGTGTCGGTGTCATGCGGGTACTGTTCTCAGACTGACTCAGAATCTGCCACCTCACCAGTTGGATACTTGTTTATTTGTGATAAGGTAAGGGGCTAAAATAATTCCTTTAGGTGACTGATGCGCAGTAGGAAATATGAGGGTGCACATGACTTGCCTTCCAAGCATCAACCAAGAACTACTAAGACTATGAAGACCTACTTGTAATTGAGCGCGACTACCAAACACGAGAATAAAGACGGCAATCTTCGAATACAGAAGGTCCCTGGTGGCTACAGAATGCCACAGACTTTCTCGATATTATTTTTTAAAATTTTCTTTGGTCATGGCTAGTAATTCTAGTTTGTCACATATTGTCAGCTGCCATCTATCGACTTCCAAGTACATTTTTTGAAATATCAATTTTTGGGTCTCTTCAAAATCTAACTGTCTTTGACATTACCTCCAACGCGAAATTTTTGAAAATTCAGGGACTTCAACGAAAATGAGTTCTGTGCCATTATTTTAAACGTACCTCGGTTTGAAGTCAAATAAAGAATTTGGAGGGATTTCAGATAAAATGTTTTTTATAAATTGCAGTAATTTCAAGCAGAGATTTTCGGTATCGAGAACCAACAAACAAGTATTCTGACTATACACCGAGTTAGAGGAAATAATTTAATTTATATGGACACAATATTCTTTCACTTTTTCATTGCGAGGGCTCAGCAAGATTCTCTCTGACGAAAATTCGCCGTTTTATGGATCTCGGTTACAATTCTTTCTCTTCTTAAGGAATACAAACGAAAAAGTAAAAATCCGTTATCGTAAGTATTTACAATGCATTTTTAATTCAACGTCGACTGCATAACTTGTCATAGTTCCCTACAACATACGTACATATAAAAATATCTGTTAATACAAAATAGTATTTCAATTTACATTTTCAGAAACATATTAAACTTGTAGATTTTATTCTTCCAGAACGTGTAAACTTCTCTCATTTCATTGGGTTTTGAGACTTAATATCTGAAAGACGTGAAATAGTATTTGTTTTTTTTTTTTTGCTTTTTCATAAACTGAATATGCAGAACTTTTCTAACATTTTACTGCTGTTTCTTAAGTTAGATGTAATCGTAAGGGTTCATCTAGTAGTTCAAAAGTATTTTCGAATATTCCCTACATCTCCAATATTTGTGCCAAACTTTCTTTCTCAATGAAATTTATCCCTTAAATGAAGTAGCTTCCCACAAATAAGTAAAAATTAAACAATTACTTGTTTACAAGTCTTCAAACAGCTGAGCACCATATGTTTGATTTCCGTAATGTATCCAAGCCATGTTTTCGTTGTGCTGCTCTTTGGAACCAGAAAAAAGCAAATCAGATGTCATACTCTTCTTGTGTTCATAAATATCAGAATATTACAAATGATAGACATAATTGATTAAATTATGAAAAACTAAACTCCAAACATTCCTCATTTTTTGCATCACTGCTGCTCGATATTTCCCAACTTTCGAAGCCATTCTTCAACCCTATTTTTGTCTTGGTGGTTTTCTACATAACTTTATTTAATTTTAGACCTCTTAATTACGCCACACACCCCTTTTTAATATGAGTAATTGTTACATAAAAGCACTAAAACGAGTAAAAGTTCGACTCAGAGACGAACGGACGAAACAGATGGATGAACGGACAGACAAGTAAACAGATGGACGTACCGAATAAAAGCAGACGGACAAACAGACGATTTGAAAAAAAAATTCGATATCAGTGTGTATTTCTCCGAAAACTCTTGTTATCGCTATTTTGCAGTATTACATAACTTTCTCATATGTAGTTCTCCCACAAAAGGTGATATCATATTTAACTGTGTACTGAATTTTGCTTTCTCGCACTTATGAAGAAACTTCTTAAGAACAGAAAGTAGATGAAATGCTGCGCGATAAAACGACGAATTTGCGGCACAAAAACTCGTATTACAGGATTCTGGTAACGAAAATGTGGATAAATCTAGTGGCTAAATTTAGGGGGGGGGGAATCCTCTAACACTTGGTGTAGACAAAAACCCAGTTTGGTAGGTCCCTGATACCGAAAATTCGATTGACGGTAAAAGGTCTGTCCGTCTGTCTGTAAACAACGCTAGCGGATAAACCGTTCAGCCGATTTTCTTCAAAATTGATATTCCTCAATCTATCTGGCAGATGTCACAGCCCCTTGAATTTGAAATAAATATTTTAATTTTGGGGGTACTTTCCATGAAGCCTCTGGGACATTTTCAAAATTTTCAAAAAAATGCCCCCATTGATTTTCCTTAATTTTGTTGCTGGATAGTCTAAAGGACGTTTAAAAGAATGGAACACAAACTCATGTTGGTTAAAAACTCTTATTTTTCCGAATTTGCAAAAATTTTAATTGTTTTGGCATCTTCCTACAAATAAAATATTAAAGATAGAGATTTACCCCTTAATTAAATCTGTTCCTTAAAGGTATATTTTGAAATAAGGTCATGTACAATTTTTCGAAAATTTGAGTATTTTTTTGCGTGATTTTGCGTTAAATAAAGGCAAGTTTTAATTTTTGATTAAACAATTTTTTCTCAAAAATGGATCCATCGTTTCTGATGAAATTTTGTTGATTTTTGAAATATGTTTGAAGAACGTTTAAGAAAATGGTGCAGTTTCATGTTGGTTAAAAACTCTGATTTTTCGAAAATAGAGAAAAATTAAAATTTATTCGGTATCTTCCTACTACAACAATTATGAAAATATATTTTTTCTTAATTAAATGTGTTTATAAAAAACAAATTTACAAATAAGGTCATGTTGAATTTTTCTAATATATGAGAATTTTCGGAGTAGTGTGGCGTCAAAGTTAATGGCCCGCTCTGAAAATCCTCCACTTCTTAATTGTAATTTTAGGTGTTTTGAAACAGTTGGTTGCTACGTCAGTTAGAATGTGTATATTATTTCGCATGTCTTTGTTTATTTCTTACATTGGAGCATTTGTTATACGTTTACAAACAACCCGTTACCCATTGTTGTAACGCCGCACAGATATTAAGAAAAAGCTATAATGTCGGCTACTCTCCGTTTGCAACAATAAAAACGAATCCTTTTATATATTTGTAGAATATTGCGATACCAATAATTACTATTATATATTTTTGATCTATTTGTTTGCCATCGCTATCATACCACGTATCATTGATTAACTTTTAATTATTTTAATTTCTCTCAATCTGCTTATTTTTGTCATCAAATGTTCTAGGATTTCCAATAAGTTTTACAAAAAATAATTCGGTGAGAAATCGTGTTATAAATCGTATTATATAATCATTACTAATTGCGAAAAAGTACGTGTTGTTTTAGCACCACTAGTTTTAAGTTAAATCACTCTTATAAATGTTCAAAGTAAACTCACACATTTAATATTTTATAATAAACTTAACGCTGAAAAGGATTTTGAATAAATAAAAAACAGAATTACAAAAAATCAACTTTTCGCCATTTGCTCCATTCTGATTTCAAGTCTAAGTTCAGTTAATTTATTACACCTCTACAAAAATGAATTAATGAAAAGAATGCTTTGTCTTAGTAGTTTTTAAAGCGAGCTATATAGACCCCGTCTGGTCAATTTGGACCACTTTGAGTCTTTTCATGGGCTCCTTGAGAACTAAACGAGGTTATGTAATGTACCCTGAGAAGGGTACATTTCATACTTTCATTTCATACTTTCAAAAAATACATACAAAACATTTCATATTTTCTATAAAAAACAAAATATTTGGGCATAAGTCGAAGTCTAGTGTAACCTCAGGTGACTGTCCTTACCATAGTCTCCCACTGGATGTCCTCACATGAAGGATCGCATAAGGCCTCGATGAACAACTTGCTGGATGTAGCTCGAACCATCCTGATTTTCAAGTTACCTATAACATATATTTATGAAAGAACACATAGGATAAATACTTTTTAATTAATACAAACGGTATCTTCATTACAAAATATACTTACATTGAAACAAAAAAGCCTCTATTTTACTTAAATCTTAAAAACTCTTTTTTAGTATTCAAACTGTTGTTTTTTTATTTTCAATTGCATATGGTAAACATTTCCCTTGCCCCAAAGGAAGGCAACTGCATAAGTGAGAACTTTCAACTTCATCGCACCTCAGAATTATTGCACATGATTCAATGTAGATGATTAATTGGTGTTTATTGTCTGGGATGGCGCGAGGCTCCTTTTACTCTCCCAAATCGGGAAGAGCTTCCCTTGCAGGTCAGGAACGCAACCATCCCATGAAGACGCTTGCTCTCAGTGCAAATGATTCATTAGTGATTCCGGGCTCGTTTACTTCTGAGTTCATTAGTCCCGTACATGTAATGCAAGTTTTGAGGGGCGGAGATTTGCCTACGTTAGTTGGCGAGATCCGGTGCTGAGCTGCCTGTCGGCTTGCGGTGCACAGGTCCGTGGGGCATAGTTCTGGTCGGGACAAGCTCGACGCTCCATGTATGGTAGTACGGTGGATACAATTGTGTATGTGTGAGTCTGTGTAAGTAAGGGGTGAGGATATGACAAGGAAGAAGAAGGAATGGGGAAGAAGAAGAATTGCGCGCGGTCCGTGGCATGTTTGTTGGAATTCTGCCCCGGCAGTCGCCTAGTGTTGTTTGAAGAAACCACGGAAAACTGCTGTTTAGAGCAGTCGCTAGAATTCTCCTCCAGCCAGTGACTGAATTTGGCCTAGCTATATGTCAGCTAGTTCGAATTCAGTCGCTATCTGGAGGAGAATTATAGCGGTCGGCTGCTCTGATCGGTAGTTTTCCGTAATTTCTCCGATCAACACCAGGTGAATGCCGGAGCAGTACAGAACCAAACGGGCCACGGACCGCGCGCGATCTTTCTTACATCTTCATTGTCCTATCCCCTCCCCTTACACACACACTTCCACTCACACGCACTACACAAGCACATATGCCGGGAGACCGTTCAGAGGCTTAGGGCTTGTCCCGGCTGGGGTGGTGCCCAGCTGGTGGGAGATACCTGGTTGGGGAAAACCCGCTTGTCGACGGTAGGTTGGCGCCGGGTCTCGCCATACAGTGAATAAAACATACACTCCATTTACGGGATACCGCCTCTCTCTCACCCCTGATCAAAAACATGCACTACACTCACGGGACTAATGACCCTGTTAGTTGACGTACCCGGAATCACTAAAAAACAAACAAACATCTACCTAGCTACGTAGCTAGTCTCGAATATTCTGCCACCACCAGGGCTCGAATCCTAAGACTTCCTTTTCAGAGACACTTCAGTGGCATCCATTGATGCCCTGAGCCCCCTACCAAGTTCTCAGTACACCTAAACGCTGTGGAGGAGAAGACGGAAGCTTTAAAACGAGAAACAATGAAAACTATTTGTTTATTTAATGTAGTGTTAATTTAATTGTAGAATAACAACACCATAATATTTTCCTCTCTAGAGTTTCATCAATTATTATATAAAAGTACCACATAAAGACTGTCAGTTTTACGACAGATAAACCGTACTTCTTTTTATAGAAAGGAGCAGAGGATATAACATGTGGTGAACGCGAGTATTGTAATGTAATCTGTATATGTTTGGGAGAGAAAAAAGTGATTATTACAAGCTAAAATTTTAATGAAATAAATGGATAGAATTAATGCTTTGATATCAAAATATGAAAGATTTATAAAATTTCAGTAAAATGAAGAATAATATTTTGATAAGCTACTGGATTACATTTAGGTTTTGGGACATTATTACATTTTTAATGATTCTGTGCATATTAAATTAATTTCCCTTTTAAATTTAAATTTTAAAAACTATAACTTGGAAATTGAAGAGTTACTAATGATTTATTTTTCATTGGTGTGAAATGTAAATGGTAGGCTGATGAAATAAAATGGTAATATTGTCATAAGAAGAAGCAACACGGGCCTCCACAAGATGAGTAACATCTTGTATGTACATTGTATATACATACTGAATAATTGTTAGTTTATGTCTTTTGCATTCATTAACACTTACAATTTACCAATCTGTAATTAATTCAAGATTAATTTGATGCACTTCATGACGTGAACCATGAATTACAAAACAATGCCAATGTCAATAAATTCCTCTTAAGCGTCTAGAACATTATCTATGCTATTCTGGAGTCATATGTATTACTTACCCCCAAGAGGAGCCTTCAAATTGTTATTGGAATTAGTATTACTAACATACAATAATTTTATTATTATTATTATTATTATTATTATTATTATTATTATTATTGCTATTATTATAAACTCAATAGAAATTATGCATTAATAAATGGGTCATTGGTGCAGTCATTAGTTCTGCTCTTTCGTCTGATCACTTACAGACTTATAAACATTTGCAATCTGGATTTGCGAAATTGTAATTGATTGCACTTAATTTTGCAAATAATGATATTTAAAGATCAGTTCTGATTTTTAAAGTAATCGTACAGCTTCGGCGCCTCGATTTCATGACGTCTTGGCTGTCCGGGTGACGCCGCGTTGTTGGCTGAGAAGCCAAAGTTTCACCTGTCATGTTGTAGGCTTCTTCAGGGTAGTGACCAAGTATACGATAGTGGCCAAGATAGTCCACTACCCTGAGGAAATCTGCGACATGATAGGCGAAATGTCGGCCCCTCAGCCAACGACACGGCGACACCCAGACAGCCAAGAAGTATTGTAAAGTGATCAACAGCCAAACAGTAATGAACGAACCCATCATAGCAGTGACGACTGTTCTATAGAGCTTCTTTAGCGCAATAAGACAAGTTGTCTTAAATAAGGAACACAGCAGGTGCGTCGTGCAAATCATACACCGCAATGCTTGTATCTGGTTGGACAAGAAGTCATGTCGAGCATTTGCAGATCCATAATACAAAAACGAGAAAATGAAACAGATTTATCAGCAAATAAAGAGCATGCAAATAGCTCATGACAGTGTCATTTTAATTCTACACACATTCCTTAAATTAATTGTTTATATACCAGCATTCTAAACGACCTTTTTTGTTCCAAAAAATCTTTCATAAAAGAGCATTTTACTGCACAAATGATGAGGTATTAGCATTTACAGTACGTGACGGACGAATCACATATTCACCTAATCGCAGCGAGAGAATCGAGAGGAGGTAGCGGTAAACGGAACAGCCGAATACTCGCATTGGTGTCAAATATCCGAGACGTCCCAAGAAAGTTATTTCTCAAAAGTAAGTTTGAAGCTATTGTAAATGTATATCTCTGTTATACCAAAAAAGTGCGTATATAACTCGTTGTAATGTTTTGAATTGAAACCTATAAAACTGCCCACAATTTCTTTTGCTCTTGATTATAATAGAATAATATAATGCATTATCAGCTCGAAGTCCTAGCACAAAGGAACGAAGCATACTGTATACGAAATACGACCTTACCTGCATTATTTAACTGCCCCTTCTTCTCACGAAGCGCCATAGATCGTTCTTCGGGGTTTGCAACATTCGCAAATGCGGCGAAAGTAAGAAAAATAGCACAATATCTTCCATTCATAGTCACAACTCTCTTTGGTTCGCTGCTCAGTCTAACAATGCCCCGTCCAGTTTGTTGGTGCGACCACAGATTCCTGTTTCCTTGATGAGCTGACGTCACTTGATATCAAAAGCGTTTCGTGGTCGCGCAAAGCCTAGGAGGAAACTTGTGCTTGTTCTGTCTCTGACCGGTCGCAGCACGGAAATCAGCTGAACTTTTACCCTAGTTAGCTCCGGTTCAGAAAAAAATAAAATGAGAAAACACGTGCCTTCAAGTTCTTATACAAATTTTACGTTCGAAAGTATGACATACGAAAATAACTTTCCATTTATTTTGTACCATTTTTCTTTTCTCGAATTCCACTTCACACGAAGAAAGTCATGCGATGCCGCAACGAAAAGTTCCGGTTTTCTGAGTTGACCACCTCTCCCCTATTGGTGTTGTTGCAATTGCCACGGAGAGGCATTGGATTCTAACTCTTAAAAGAATTAATTGTTAATGGAAATAGATATATTTTTAATAAATTTATTTTAAGTCGCATCCACATGGATGGTTATTAGCAACTACATATAAGGAATTTACATAACATTTCCATCGGTTATAAAACAGTGTTTAAACAAAACAGTACAGAAAAATTACACTTAACATAATTTAAACATGTATGGTTAAATACAAAGTTGCAATTGTACAGTTTTAAAATACATTTATTAGGGTTATATTTCATTAGGATATTAATTGATTTACATAATTGTAGTAGTTTGATTTGATAATCCTCAGATGTTAGGATTAGTTCTTTCTCTCGCTCATCAATTTTGTGCTTATGTCTGTTGTGCTGATATAGAGTACCGTCTTATAACAAATGATGGATGTTGAGAGAGATACTGCAGAGCACAGGTGGGAGGGAGGTCTTTGGTTAGAAGGTGCTTGTAGCTAAAATTTCATGACCATTTTTTATCCGTAATATTATCACTTTTTCTTTTTTAGAAATGTTGTTTGCAAGTTTTCAAGGGGTACAAATTTACAATTTTTTCGTACAGATTGCTAAACTTCAAAGTTCTGCATTGCTTGCCCCATCTCTTCTGCGATCACTGTTGGAGTCTGTCCATAGATAGGTCCATATGTGTGAAGTTGCTAAAACTTCACCTATTTCTGGAGTTGTCATCTCTTCCTCAAGGCTCATTATCTCATTTTCAGACATCACTGGGATATGGGAATTACTAACTGAATGTTTATCATTAAAATTTAGTGTAACAATATTTAATTCTTTCTGAACCAAATTGTACACGTGTTTTTTTTTATTTGAGAGTTCTCCTCTCATAATTAAATTAAACAGTGTCTATGATGAGATTTTGTTTCGTCTTGTGCTTACAGTCAACCTGTACTGCATTTAGGAGTGTGTATTATTATGTAATGTTTTCTTTTTGAAATTATATTAATTTGTTGCAACAGGTGTTTTTCATTTCTGTTAATCGTAGTCTACTAAAAGCCCCGGTCCCAGGAGTAAATTTTTGTTTGCAACCGTGAGTAACTAGGGGATCATTCTTTGAATACCAAATTATGAGAGATCCAGTTGCAGATTCTAAGGGATAAGATGCGCTAATATTAACAGAAATTTCTGGCTTAGAATTTTATGTAATTTTTACTTTCAACGCATCGAAATACGCATCGTCTAGCATTTGCTGGAGGATCACATTAAATGGATTTATTATGATTCGTAGGCGTATTCAAAACAGCATCCAATAATGCTGGCCTCTGGAAAAGGAGAAATTAGGCTCAACACGTGCCGGCGGTAGAATCTGTTTGCCAACTCTATTTCAAGAATCATATTATGTGTCACCTGTCTTGGCGTTATTTCCACGTTTCCTCCAAATCTCGGCCTGGATACATCGGCAATGCTCTCTCGCGAGAGGCACGTGCTCACAGAACGAAATATTTGCGTCGCCTTCTCGGATTTTAAAATAATGCACTGAGAGACCATAACAACTAACAGCGTCGAGCTATGCGAAAATTTCTTCTGCTCTGAATATGGAGCGAACGGCGATCAGTTGGTTCTGAATCGATTTAAACAATGCGAGCTAAGGCGTGTTATTGGGAGTTCCGCAGTTTTCTCAGTCCTTGCCTCGTGGGTGCTTGGATGGTGCTTCGCCCTGTTAGCAATGCTGCGACGTAGTTCTAAAAAAATGTTATATTCTCTGGGTTACTTACTTTCACGAATAGTGAGTTGTTGATACTGAAAAAAGTGCATTTGTTTCAAAACGTCCGTCCGTCCGTCCGTCCGTCCGTCCGTCCGTCCGTCTGTCCGTCCGTCTGTCCGTCCGTCCGTCCGTCCGTCCGTCCGTCCATCCGTCTGTCCGTCCGTCCGTCTGTCCGTCCGTCCGTCCGTCTGTCCGTCCGTCCGTCCGTTCGTCTGTCCGTTCGTCCATCTGTCCGTGAATTCGTCCTCCTATCTGACGTCTGTGAACAACACCAACGCTGAAACTATGATTAGGAAAATACACAATTTTGCAATAACATTGATTGTGAATAACGGGTACTTTAAAAAAAATCCCTGGGACACTTTCAAAAAATTTCTCAAAAAAGCTCATAAGTGAGAAATTCACTTATAAAGTTCCCAAGGTTCCGGTTTTCACTGCTAACTAAAGTTTCGAAAACTGCAAAATATTTACATTTTTTTGCGTCTTCCTACAACTATAAACTTCAAGATAGAGAGTTTTCCTTCCATTAAAATTTGCTTTCCTTAATTTATTGGAATGTTGAAAAAATATGTTATTAAGAAAATATCTATTTCAAAATATCAAACTTTTGCAAGGATTAAAAATTTAGAGAACTTTACAATAATTGGACCTGCATTATTTTTACAAGTGTACTCTGCTGTTTTCTAAAATAAATAAAAATAAGAACTGGTGCTATTTTTGAGAAAAAATGATACCGTCCTTGGACTTCAAGTAAATTGCCATCCAAAATCAAAATAAAATTTTCAAATTCAAGTGACCTTGACATCAGCCAGATTAGTCTAAGTATATCAATTTCCATGAAAATCTTACGGTTTAGCCGCTATCGATGTTCTAAAACAGACAGCCGGACAATCCGTGTGGTCCGACAGACAGATTGACCTTTTGCCTAAACCAATTTTTCAGTATCAAGGACCCACAAAATCCTGTCTGCAGAACGTATTAGTAGAAGTTATTCAATAAATACTGAATGTCCCAAACCAAACGCTAAAAACACTGGCGTCATACTTTGTGAGTTTCGGTCTCCCGGACCCTTTGGTAAAGAACTTCTGTTTTGGGACGTGTCCAATAGGTAATTACTCTATAGAGCTGTAAATCTAGAGGGTTCGCATGAGGAACCGGACTCAGGTTTGGGTACTCTCCTCTGTATTATAGTATTTCAATTCAATTACATACTACTTTCATTTTCTTCTATATTCAATCCCTCTCGCCTTATAATTTCTTTGTATTTATTAATGTAGTTCTTTGGTTATCGATAATCAAACCTTATCCACATCGCACCGCTAGGCAAAGGACACAGTCGCCATTTTTCTTATATTTCACCGAGTTTGTAAGTAACCAGCGTTGTCGGGGTAATTATTTGTCTGAATCGTCCATTAAACAGCCTCACCCGTCTCGCCCACTATGTCCGCTCAGGGCACATTACACGGAGTATAGGCACCCCGGGTGGTATAATGCTTTTTTCTAACGTCACGCCCTTCGCATCCACACCTCCACGGATATCTTAAACCAACAGGATTCTCTTCCACTTTGTAATTCCCCAGTAACAATGTGTACCAAGGTTTCTTGAAATGGCATTGTTCCCACGTTGAAGAGTTAAGCTGAAATATGAAAACATATACATATTTTTTTGTACTATATAAATATTTTCGAAAATGTGTACTTTTGTGAGGCAATGTTTATACTGACGGTGAGATATATAATATTATTTCTTAAGAATAATTATATGTATTATAGGTTGATTGGATGATCACAAACATGTGTCTTTTTGCACACATTTCAAAGAAGTAAAAAAATAGTTTTTTTAGTTGTAGCGTTCGGTAATTGGTTTCGAAAAAATCTTTCATACAATCGTTGTAAATTTTATCCTCTTTGATATTTCATTGAATAATTTTTCTACCGGACTTAAGGAAAAAGAGTTGTAGAGAAAACTTTGAGTTTTAACTAGAGGCTGGGTATATACAGCATACCCAATGAAAAAGATTTTATTACTTTCTTAACGGAATTTCCATGTCCCAGAATGGATAAATTCACAGATTAAGTTAATGTAAGCAAGGTCATTACGTTTCTTTAGCCATCTCTGACACTTCTCCTGTTTAGTTCATTACTTATAAACAGTTATAGTTACGCCTGCAATATCCAGAACCTTCCAGTGTCAAAACATCAAAATGTAATAATTATTTCAATGACGTTTTTGACTTTAAAGTGAGAGAAGAAACATTTTTGTGGAGGTAACAACATATATTTCTAAATATATTTTATAACAACCTGCATATATCACGTAAAGTACTCAACTGTCTACAGTAGCTCCATGACAAAATGTTCGCATTACTATTCTCAACGTGTTTCTTCGTTGTTTTTTTTCGCCTGGTCTGAGGCAAATGTTTTGGAAAAAGATTTATTCGTTTTTCGCTATCTTCGAAACTTACAATATGAGCTTTCTTCAGTCGAAAATCGCGGTGTTTCGCCGTAGCATTACCAAATTTTCTCTGTGAAGATGAAGGATTTTTTTATCTTCAACATTGTAGTTTTATGATTAAAAACGTTTACAAGTTTTTGGAAATGCAGCAAGATCACCGAAAAAGGGACCTGCGCCACTTTTATGTAGCACTATCTGAGAAAAAAATTTAATCTAAAAATTTGGAGCCATTTAAAAGCTAGTGGTGCTTCAGAATGGCACAGACTTTTCCGTATTAGTTTTCTATTTCCTTTGGTCTCATTCAACTACACGAACTTGCCACATACTCTTGCCAACTGGCATCTATCGCCGCTCAAAATATATATACTTTTTAATTTTCTTAATTTTCCGTTTTTCTGATAGTAGAACGGAAATATTATTTTACGATTATTAAAGAACAGTAAA